GCAACTGTTTTCCAAGTGAGCAAGCATGCGATTTCGTCTCCAGCTGCCAGCGCTGCAAGAAGGCGACCCACACACATTGTTGCTGTTGCTGTTGTTGTTGTTGTTGGCTTATTAGCAGTGGCACTTAGAATCGGCACTGGGCTTGTCAAGTGGAGAAAGCCACGCAATACGGTTGCCCAAAACAAAACAGAATAACAGCAACAGCAACAACAACAACAACAACAAATATGAGTAAATAAAAACAGAAGAAAAACCGCAAGCGCAGCGTTCCAGCCGCATGTTATTTCAAGTTCGTTGCCTAAGTCTTTTGTTCTGCACGCAAATTGCTGTAGAAATAAACACGAAGCAAGCACACAACATTGGCACTGCATACGAGCTGCAGGTGTGAAACAAATCGCATTAGCGGACACGCGAAAATCTCTCGCATTCATTTCAATTTCAATTTCGATGCAGGAATTGTCCAGCCGCAGGTGATTGATTGTCCCGCTGCAGCAGCTCCAGGCAGGGCAATGTCTGTTGCGCTTTGCTTGCTTGCCTGATTCACTCTCTCGGCTTGGCCAGAAGCCCAAAAACTGCGGCCACACACATATATAAATTATGATTATTAAAAAGAAAATCGGCAGACCGACAATTAATAGACCATGAACAGCAGCTAGACGTTATCGCTGGCCATGGACTTTCATAGAAAATTGCACACACTTCAGACGAAGTTTCAAGCATCACACACACATGCACAGCTACAAACATTCCACATGACCATGAACAGGGTTTTATAGGGGGGGAGGGCGTGCTAGACGACAAAATCTATTTTTACTTTATTTTAATGATTTTCGTTGCTTATTAAAATTTAATAATGAAAAAAAAATCTATTTTCGCACTTATGTCTTCCTGATTATTTCCAAATTGATGTTAAAGTACTTTGAACTCAAATGCTGAAAACAAAAAAGAAAAACAGCAAAAAACTAACCTTTTTTATTTGAATCGTGCTGCGTCAATTGTTTGCAAAAATAATTAAATGATTGTTGAACTGGTTGCTTTTATTCCGTTGTTGTTGTTGTTGTTGTTTGTTTGTTTATTAAACATGGATAAGCAACTATTTTGAATACTTGTCGACTTCAGCTCACACAAAACATTTTCCAGCGGCTTTTGCACATACTCTGCCAGCCACAATTAATCGCATTGCGCGCAGTGTTGTAAATGAATGTTGCATAAAAGAAAGAAAAAAAAAAAAAGAAACGAAACACGAAAAAAAACACCAACACAAACACTTAGACACAAAACAAAATAAATACAAGAGACGCGCACGAATAGCAGATGCAGGCTCTGCCTCTGGCTCAGGCTCAGCAGGTTAAGGCAAAGGCAGGCAGGTTAGGAATCCTTTTTATTTTTTACTTTTTTTTGGCAGCAGTCGAACAAACGTAACGGCTACACGTAAAGCGCACAAACTGCTTGCAACCAGTGCGCGCGCTTGCAACAGCTCGAGGCACGATAACACGACGATATGGAGTTGCTGCCTGTGAACCGGCGGCGGTTGCAATCCGTCAGACACGTTTCCCAGTTCCCACTTCCCAACGGAATGATTTGGCCAAATCTGCAGCAGCGCCAATGAAGCCCGGCTTAAGGCAGCCAGCGACAGCAACAGCAACAGCAGCGCCCACCGCATGTAACGCGGCGCCGGCAAGCCAGCGAGAGCGTGCCAAGCCAGAGAGCGAGCGAGAGTGAGAGAAATGGGGAGAGAGCTCTCGCCACCCAATGCTGGCTGCCCACTTGTCTAGCCATCACCTGCCAACTGCAGTGAGAGTAAAAGCAGCAAAGAGCGAGCGCAAAGCAGACACAAGTAGAGAGAAAGACTAAGTGTGAGTGTGTGCGTGTGCGTGTAGACTCTCCGTCACGACTTTCATGGGAGCTGAAGAAAGTAGCGAGCTGCTGTGCATGCGAAGCACCCTATAAACCCATGAAATATGAGCTTTATGAGCAAATGCTCAGAGCAGATCTGACTCGGCGGCTACTGTTGGCCGAATGTTTGGCTGCTCAGACTCAAATCGAGTGCATCTACGACGATAATTAGTCAACTTTGCTTAAGTGGTTCCGCTGCAGAGGCCAGTGATCTGAAATGCCTTATCGATAGCGATATGTAACGGGTTTGCCTTATCGATAACGATATGTAACGGGTATGCTACTGGCTGAACTGCCTCATCCATTTGATTCCCATAGCACTCATAAGTCAACCAATAACTAAATAGTTTGTCTTTTCTCATGGCTGCGGAGCAAATGAAAATTGTTTTGTTTAACATGCTCACTTTCAAGCCCTCCGAACGACAACTGTAAATTTTCTAGAAAAATCTCTGGGCTTATCTCTTATCAGGCCTATCTCTTTCTGTGCGGCCATAAATTATCATCTGCTTTGCTATCGGGTAAGGCTTATAGCTCAGGCTTATTTTCTGTCCCTATTACTATGAATCAGAGTATGTCTTATCTTCTTCTTCTACTCGTTACTCCACCTGTGCATTCTGCCTCTGTCTTCGCCTCCCTCTCTATCTCATCTACTGTTTGTCCTTTTATTTCCTGTTAATTCCTTTTCTTTATATTCATCTACCTCAGTCTCTGCCTCTGTTTCTATCCCTGTGGCTGACTCTACCATTGATTTGGTATCTGTCTATGCATCTGACTCTACTTCTTGCTTTCTTCTAACCCTGCTCCTGCTGTTGCCTCGACTATCGCCTCTCCAAGTTGTCTTAACTTCTACCTTTGTATACTTCTAGTTCTACATTATCCTAAGCTTCTGCCGCTGTTTTGCTTCTGTCTCTGTCTCTATTTCGGTATCTAGCTCTGCCTCTTCCTCTGTGTATACTTCTGGCTCTGAATCTTCCTCTTAGTCCGCCCTTGCCTCTACTTATTCCTTTTTATTGGTCTGTGCTCTATTGGTCTTACTTTGCTTCAACCTTTCAACCCTCTCTATCTCTATCTCCATTTCTGCATGTGTCTCTGCAAATCTCTATCTCTAATCTCTGTCTCTACTTCTGTTACCTCTCACACATTTGCCTCTCCGCATCAAATCCTTTTACTGATTCAACTAAGAGTTTTGCTTTCATCAATTCCTGATTTATTTAATAGTATAATACGCTTTTATTATAAGCTCCGACAACTCTATGAAGCAATAAAGTTTTGATATTCCAGTCGATTCGCTACCGCATCTCAATGCAGATTGCCTAATATAAGAAAATCCAGCTTTAAGTATTTTAATATACATTTTTTAGATGATATTGGTATTAAGTAAATATTTATTGCATTAAGATTGAGTATCAATGCTGTTGATAAATGAAAAATATTTTATATCGACTTTTACAATGAATTTGATCACAAATGTTTACAAATATCTAGTCAAAATGTAAACGGATTATTATATACCAGTATGATTAGAGGTTGAGGCAGCTGGTTATAGAGTTTGTTACCGCGCTTATCCCAAAACCCGGAGCTACTTGAAAGCTGTCACGGCTTCAGCTTATATAACAAGAGCAACGGTATTTGCCAACATTTGCAGTTGTTTGGAATATTTCGGGAAGTTTTTAGCATATTGTTGCATCATCCAAGCTCTTCAAGTACATGTGTCTGAGCTCACTTTCAAAAAATATGTAACATAAAAAAAAGATCAACAAAAACAAAAAACGAATCAGAAGAAGGAATGGAAAGGGAAAAACTCGCACTGTTGGCAGCTCTGCTGTTTATCCTCGGCCCACGCGGCGCATGCGCAATGCGAAATGCGCAATTCAGCAGCCATACCTTTCAACTGCAGGCTCGGCGTCCAGTCGGCGTTGCTTTTAAGCCAAGCAGCGCGCCAGATTACGCAAAGCGAGCCGCAGGCAAATTGCCGTCTAATTGCCGTCTTTTGGCCAATAATTAATTTTTATATTTCTGTGTCTCTCTTCACTTAATTTGTCTTCGAACTTTTAATTAAAGGCACCACACACACACACAGACAGACACACGGCGCTGCTAAGCCACGCGGCTCTGGCAGGCGCTCGGCTAGAATCGAGCGATAAGCATCACAACACAAAGCAAAACCAAAGCGGAATCGATGCCCTTCTGCAGAGAGTACAACAGCTAGGGTATGAGATAAGCTGCAGAGGAAGGGTGATCAGGTGAAGAAAGAGGGATGTCGAAGTCGAAATCGAAGTGAAAATCGAAGTCGAAATCGAAGTAATAATCGGAGTCGAAGTTAAAATCGAAGTCGAAGTCAAAATCGAAGTCGAAATCGAAGTCGAAATCGAAGTCGAAATCAAAGTCGAAATCGAAGTCAAAATCGAAATCGAAGTCGAAGTCGAAGTCGAAGTCAAAATCGAAGTCGAAGTCGAAGTCGAAGTCGAAATCGAAGTGAAAATTGAAGTCGAAATCGAAGTAAAAATCGAAGTAGAAGTTGAAATCGAAATCGAAGTCAAAATCGAAATCGAAGTAAAAATCGAAGTCGATGTTGAAATCGAAGTCGAAGTCGAAGTCGAAGTCTAAACGAATTAAAATCATATGGGAATTTGGAATTTGGAAATTCTACTAAGGGTTTTGCAGGATTGATTAGTCTGTACAGCAATTAATATAAGTATATTTTTCGCACATAATAAAAACTTGGCTCACATATGCAAATTTTCAGAAGAGTATTAGAACTCATTCACAAAGTTATATTTCCACTTACATACTTATGTATATCAATTTTGTCAACTGTGATATTTAAGAAGCGTATTTGATGTGCGGCACTATAAACTAAACTTCTTTTTTCTTCTTCTATTTGATTTTTATTTTTAGTTAATTTTTTTTCTTGGTTTAGTTTTTAGTTATGTTTTAAGTTTTGATATTTTTGTTTTCTTCTTTCAATTAATTTGAGTATTTTGTTGTTTTCTTTGTTTATTTTTTCCCCTATGTGTTTTCCATTAGAAGTCGAAGATCATTAGCAATATTGAACGGAATTTTCAGCTATAAATTGTGCTGCCTGCCAGCCAAGAAGCATCACAAGCTTTTGGAGCAGCGCACCGAGAGCTACTGAAACAACAACAAACCAACTGCAAAATCAAAGCATTCGATTATCAACATGAAGGTAAAAGGATTTCTTGAAAGGACTCTGCCTGGGGCTGGCCGACTAACGTTTCCACTTTCAGGTCTTTGTCTGCTTGCTGGCCACCTTGGCTCTGGCTAATGCCGGACAACGCGGAGGTGCAGGTGGCGGTGGCTATCTGCCAGGCGGAGGACACGGTGGTGGCGGCGGTGGCGGTGGTGGCTTCAGGAATGGCGCCGGACTCATTTCGCATGTGTCGCAGTCTCACGGCAACACAAAGGTGCACATTGGTGGTGCTGGAGGTGGAGCTGGAGGCCATGGTGGCGCCGGAGCCTATGGCGGCGGCGGCGGCGGTGGTGGTGGTGGCTGGCAGGGTGCCGGTGCTAGTGCTGGTGCTGGTGCTGGCGGCTGGCAGGGAGCCGGTGCTGGCGGTGGACGCGGCGGCTATGGTGGTGGCGGTGCAGGAGCCGGCGGCTGGCAAGGAGCAGGTGCTGGTGGCGGACGCGGCGGCTATGGCGGTGGTGCAGGCGCCGGTGGCTGGCAGGGAGCAGGTGCTGGTGGCGGACGCGGCGGCGGCTATGGGGGTGGTGCTGGTGCTGGTGGCTGGCAAGGTGGTGCTGGAGGTGCCGGTGGCAATGCCTGGGGCAATCCAGCCTCTTTCGACTATTCTGTGAACCATGGCGCTAGCTCCTCCGTCGGTGGCGGCTCTCGCGGTGGTGCTGGCTGGTGGAACGATTAAGAATACTCGCACTGCAAAACAAATTGGATAACCGAAACGAATAAATAATTGCTTAACTCTCATCGAAAAAAAAAATGTATTTGAATTGAAAAGAGTTGCCAGATCTTTGATATTGGCTGAGTAGCTTTTATTGTACTTAAAGCTTTTGCAGTCTGGCAGCACAGCTCTACAAAAGCAATGTCTTGAGCTGAGCTTAGCTTCTGCCGCTAGCTAGCGCTAGGGGGCGCCATAGATGAGCAAGTTCGTTGCTTAAGCCTTTTACGTCTTACAGTTCAATGATCTTGTTAGCTGCAGAGTGCGCTCGATTCAGGTAGTACGTGAACTGGTCGGTAGAGGGCGCCTCGCGTGTCGCCATGTCTTTAACTGCAGGTGGCGCCAGCGGTTAAGCCGGCAAGTTCGTTGCTCAAGTCTTTCGTTAAAGGTAAAAACCGGTTCGCTTAACCATCTCGCGCTACTTGGACCCCATTCAGGCCGGGTTAATGAAGTTCAATGTCAGAGCGCGTCGCTTCGTTGTGGAAAGCGAAAGTTGAGCTCCGGCTTGGACGAGCCCCAGTCCCAACGGTATCCATGGCGCGACAGTTCAGTGTCACGCGGCAAGGATAAACCTAAGCTGCCAACGCATGCACCGGCCCAGCAGGCTGCATTCTATTGCAGTCGATTGTCGAGCTGGTGCATTTGGATAGCAAAGCACCTAGCAACTAAATCACTTTGTTTGCTGTTGCTTTTGCTTGCCTTTGTTTGCATTTCTTGTTGATTTATTGCCATCTCCACTCCACGTGTGTATAAATTTGACTTTGCTTTTTGCCTTTTTGATTTTTAGCTTCCGCCGTTTGCTTTTGTTTGAATCGCTTTGCCTTTTGTATTTGCTTGATATTGAATTACCAGTATACCTGTCTGCGTGCGTGTGTGTGTGTGTGTGTGTGTTTGTTTGTTTGTTTCTTTGTGGTCTACTACTGTATGGTCAAAGGCAATGCTTGACTATCTTGGCGTCATCTTGTCTCACATGAAACGTGCCCAGAACCTTGGCCATTAGCCACAACCACTCGAATGGCTTTTTGCATTTTGTGCATAAGCCCACAAAATAATTACATAAGTAAATACACACAGACTGCTGTTGATTTTGAATTGTATTTTTATTGTTTAATTTATTTTCCACCCAGTTTGTGTATTTGCACTTGATGTGTTTTGGTGCTGTTCAACTGGTTTGCTAGCAGTTAGCAAATATTTGCCGCATTGCATGTCTATCTCAAACACCGAGTAAGCTTTACATGGCGGCATTGAGTGATGACCATTTATTTCGTAATAAATAAAAATTGGTTAATGAAGAATACATTCGATTTAAAGCGGCCAAGTTCAAGGACATTTTATGTAGAAGTTCTTTGCGAAGAATATGTGTGTTAATGAAAATCGAAAACAAAAATTATTTTTTTTTATTTTTTTTTTTTATATTTACTAATATTGACA